ACCCTCTCTGCGGAGATGCCTGGAGGACCTGGAGAAAAGAGCCGAGCCTGAATAACTTGTCCGTCCTAGCTCTTTAGGAGCAAAGGACACTTTCCAAGCTGAAGTAGATAGTAGGGGAGGGACAAATCTGATCAAACTTAGGCTGGGATAGCAAATAGCCAAAAACCTTTCAAGCCTGAGCTGAAGTTCTGCTGAGGGAAGCACGAGTAGGAACTGTACAGTTTTACCCCTCTTTTTGAGGTGTAACAACCAGGATGCAGGACCTGAGGGTGCTGTTGGCCTCCCAGCAAGGACTGAAGCTACCGTGTTGTGAATGAACGTAAGACGAAGCTTCATTTCAGGCATGGAGTCATGGTAGAGTTTATGGGCTGCTTGTATTTCATGGCAACACGGCCTGAATTCGAGGCCTCTGTTAGCGTTTCAGTTGCTTATTACATGTAGAAAGGTCTAATTCTGTGCATCACTGAAAGGCATCTTGTTATAGCTGCTCTTCTGGTATATTTAAAACTATTGTTTTAGCAGAGAAACTGAGTCCCTAATGCAGAAGAACCAGGTTTCCTAACTACTTCCTGGCTTTTTTTTGGCTTAGCTGTTACTGCCAGTGTCATTTGTCTGTGAACTCTAACCTAAAAGCCAAGCCGTGCCATATTCTGAAGCCACTTGTGTTGTGCAATTTGTGACTTTCTGAGTGTAACTGAAGACTGTTGCACCATGTCCTTAAATAAACGTACATGGAATATTGCAAACAAAGATAGTAAAATGTGTGCACTGGGCTTAAGGCAGACTTTTTAATCTCTTTTTTTTCCTCTTCCAAAAAGCTGAATTCATCTGTCCCCCAGCCTCAACACTACACTGAATGCTTGGGACAGTACCTGCAAGTCTCTCTTTAACTGGTTGCAGTTATACAGAACAAACTGGATAACGATCTAGAGTTTGAAGATATTTGCTTTTTTGGTTATAAATACCTCTTTGGAGTTCTTGCATTTTCTACTGACAGCGTCCTTGCTCCTTTAGGGAAGAATGAAGACCTACACCTTTCAACTTTAAAGAATAATAAAACGATGGTGGAGTTGTCTGTATTAATAAGTCATTCAACTTTATTAGAAACCGCTTTACAATGCTCCCAGCATCTGTACCGCTCACTTTCTGACTTGGCTTGATGAGCCTTTAGGAGGAAATGATTTTCAGTAACTCCAATCTAGTAGCGTTTCTGGCATCAGGAATTCTTGTCTGGTTTCTGAGGACTGCTGTGGTAGAAGGTGATCTTTCCAGGAGTGCTGGGCCAAGGTTCGGCTGTCTCAGTCTGTGGCCGTTGTGGGGGCAAAATAGCCAATAGGCCCAGAAGCTGAAGGGTTTCATTCTGTTATCCAAAAGAGTGTAAAGACATGCTGGCTTCTGTTACCTAGCACCTGTCCCTCACCCTGCACTGGAGCCCAGATGCACTGCTTGATAAGCAGACTTAGTTTAGATATGATATTGTTTACTGAAACACAGATGGAGTGGCACTGATGTTAACAGGAGTCCAAGTCTTGGGTAGTTACTTAAGTGACTGGGTCTGCTGGAGCTAATGGAGGTCCTAGTTTAGTAATCTTTTATTCTCTAACTTTTTTCCCCTAGTAAAACTAGGCAACACTGTAAGGTGTGTGTGGTGGTTTTTTTTATCTTTGTTTTGGTTTTTTTCTTTTGAGTCCTGGAGAAACTTCTGCTCAGAGCTGCACAAATGGCTTTTATGGCTCGCTCTGGTAGTGCCTGAAATGAACCCTTGCTCCTAAATGATCTTGAGTCCTGCCTGTGTGCCCTGCCTTTGTATCAAGATGTATGTCATGGCTTCTCCTCATATGCTTTGCCTTTTGTGCGTGACAACTTGGCTTCAGTAACAAGAAAGAAAAATTGTTCAACAGGACTGGTATTAGCAAAAAAAGCTATCACGCAGTACAGTCGTATACACAAACTTTTCTACATTCTAGTTTTCAATCCGAGTTTTAAATGTATGAGGAGGAAAGGAGCTGTACTAACTCTAAAAGTCGCTCTTGTATCCTGAGTGTCACACTTCCAAATATCTGGGTGCCCTGTGGAGTCGCCAGCCCTGACTTAGCTGAATAGGCTTCATACCTGAGGGAAAGATGCAGGTGATTCAGAATGGGAGCTGCCCATAGGCAAGCGGGGTGACTGGGGCACTATTAAATTAGTCAGTGAAGAGATAAACAAACACACCCTGTCTTAGCACATGGCCCCTTATGGATCTTAAGTGCCTGCCCTGTGTCAGGGCTGTTCTGTCACTCTGTCCTTCTCCCTGGCACTGACCCTTCTCTAGAAGGAAAGTGCTTAGCCCTTTGACTGGAAACATTGCCTGTTTCCTAAAACCATACTGCCCATTCACCCTCACCTGTTGGAGAAGGAGAGAGGTTTCTAACAGCCAAAAGTGTGCATATGTGAAAAGCTAGGGAACCTAGTTTTCAGACAGCACTATCAAGAAGGTATTGGCTTGAGCTAGAACGACACTTCTGAAAATCACCCTCCTTCTAAAAATAAAATAAAATAAAAGCTCCAGTAATGCTGAGGAGTTGGTAAGGAAGAGAAACTTTTTTCTTCAAATGAAAGGTAATAGCCTAAACCTGTGCAAATAGCAGTGCAGGATGACAGCAAGAAGGAAACGAATTTCTGAAACTCTGCCTGGCTCTTTGCAAACATTACTTCCCACGCATCCCAGAAAACATGCTTTAAAAACCAGGTAAGAGATTTGGAAAAGATAGATCTTCTGCCTACTCAGTGTGGATGTATTCAAAAGGCAAAGCTAGGACATTGTGTGTTGACTAACTTGATGCTATTTCATCATTGTTCCAGGAATTCCCTTAATCACTCTTTTGATGCAGAGAAAAAGATGGCCAGTTAACTTCATCCTCCTCTGTGAAAGTGTCTGAGAATGAATAGTTTTTCCGATGTAAAGCTGATCTTTTGCACTGATGTTGGAGAACAAAGCAGTGATGTATCCCTTCCCATCCCTGTGCAATTTAGTATTAAGGAGCTACAGGTATTCAGGGAATAAACCCCAAGAATCTGAAAGAGCAAACACCATCTTACATACACAAGATTTGTTTAAAAAACAGATCAGCCTTTCCAGGTATCATGCAGAAGAGGATTTTTGGCAAACTGTCTGGCTATTGAAGCAGCCAATACAATTTGGCAGCAAAAAACTGTCGCCAGATGTAGATGGGAGCAATTCTGTACCTGGGTGTGGGAGTAGATAGTCAACGCTGGTGTGTTCAGTTTTCCTAAGAGAGCCTAAGCAGTCACTGTAAAAACATGTGATTGTTCAGGATAAACTCAGAAGCATCCTTCTGGAAGCGTCAGAATTCTTCTCGCCTCTCTGTTATCGTGCTCCAACACTATCCAGTATGTACTCTGATCTTAACTTTCACTTCATTTGATGCGTTCTCTTCTTTTGATACCTCAGGGCACAAATGAGTCTTATTTTGTCATTTCCAAAACTAGATGGAATGTCGTAGACTGTAGGTAGTTTTTAGGAAACAAACAAATGTCTTAGTTATTTGTAAGTCAATTATAACTGTATAGAAAGGCTCAATTTGCATCGTGATGATAGGGATTTTGCATTTGGATAACAAGAAAATGGTTCAGCCTTCCTGAAGCAAACTCTTATCCTAAATTAGCTGAGGCCTTGACATCAGCTGAGCTGAGCAGTAACTTGGCCCACATCTGCTCAAAATGGTTTTCGTTCTGGAAGTGTTTTCAAATATCACTGGTAAGAGAAAGTTCAGAGACAAGTGTCTGTATGGTTGCATAATATTTAGTTTTGAAAGCAAGCTCCACAAGCCTAATGTGACCTATGAATTGCTCATATAATGTGCTTATGTCACTGAACGCAAGAGTCCTCCTCACAGTGCTTGACATGACTTTTGATAACTAAGCTGAAATTTTCTTTATCTTAGATCTTTGGTATCCGTGGGAGCATCTGTGGGCGCAGTAACAAAACAGACCCTGTTCCCTCCTCTCATGCCTGCAGGGCGACCTTTCCGTGTATCAAATGCCTCCAGAAGCAGCCGGAAAGGAATTGTTGCAAGCAGTCTGCAAGAGCTAATCAGCAAGGTATAGCAAAAGTTCCTACTCTGGCTGAAACTTATAGTGAAGTACTGTATCCCAGGAAGATAACCCACAGGCTCCTGTTCTTCTAAAAATCATTACTGGGGAAGTTTAAGGGAATGTGGCAGATGAGCAAGTCTGAATATTTAAAGACGGGGGAAAAAAAAGATCAGTGACATGCCCCCTTTCATATGCTATAATCTATCTTATTGCAGACCTTAGATGCTTTCCTTATATCTGCTGGAATAGTCACTCTGGTTTTGGAGGAAGATGGCACAGTTGTAGAAACAGAAGAGTTCTTTCAGTCCCTGGATGATAATACGCACTTCATGATCCTTGAAGAAGGACAGAAATGGACACAAGTAAGTGCACACTTGGAGAGAGGGGAGAAAAGGAAGAAAAGTTCCCCTAAAGAAGACAAGGGTTGCAGATTCATGTTAAGCCTTTCTGGATGACGAATCAAGTTCTTTTTTTGCCCCTTACGTGAACATGGAACTGTTGACAAACAACTTTCATGAATTGAATGAGATATTAAAACTGAAAACAAATTTATAGAAGGAAAATCTCAGTTTTGGAGAAGCTCATTAATAACCTCATTCTTGAGCCTTTTCCTAACATAAAGGAAACGAGGACTGTGTGTTAAGCTAAAAGTACAATCTCCTTAAAAGTTATCTTTTAGAGCCAAAGAAAGCTCAAATTGAGCAATACAAAATAAGTTTTGCTTTGTGGTAAATGTGGTATTTGTTTAGCAAAGGCCTGCGTTCAATCTTGCAAATGGCTAAAAGTTGTCGTCAAGATCTAATGATAGCCTAGGTGCCTTGAGATATTTTAAGAACTGCTTAGCCTGGCTGGCTTTAGCCTTCTAATGCTATGAAATTAGTGTCCAGTTTTTGGCTTTGTGAGTAGCATAGCTGTACCTTAGTAAGAGTCAAATTCTTATGTCCCTTTCCGTGGAAAGATGGTTGCTGGAAAGCTGTTGTCCAACTTTCTTGTATCAAGTGCAGAGAAGGAAACAGCTAGCTTAGGGGCTGTAGCAGGCCAACCCATTTCTGTGTTTTTTATATGCACAGCTCAATCGTTTGGCCCCATTTTTCAGTCTCCTGCTGCAGTATGGGCAGCTCGCATATTTTTCTCCTGCGCTGTCTCACTGGTTTATCAACCTGCTGCACCTGGGCTGTGAGCTCCAAGAGCAGAAAAGAGGCTGCAGCCGGCAGTATGACTCTTACCTAGCTCCTCCCTCCCTCTGCCCTATGTCCCGGTTGGCATGGTTGCGGGACTAGCTTAAACGCTGCCCTTCTTCAGTACGTCCTGACTGACAGTGGAAGAGTACCACAACTCAACCATAAATCAACTGGAGTATAGAGAAAGCTCTGCGATACTTCATCTAGGTATCCTGAGTGCTAACGGGACACGCTACCAATCGTACCCAACTACATGCCCATCAAAACTTCTGTTGATGGGGGGGGGGGGCAGTTGTTGGAGCTCGGCTCAGAGACTATCAAAGTAGAAGAAATGGGCTGGCCAATGACATACTGCAGTGCTTAACTGGGTCATGTTTATCTTAGCAGTGTCTGAGCGCTGGGGTAACGAGTATGAAAAGCCCCAGTCTTACACAACTTTATTGCTTCATTTAACATGCAAAAATAGATTGATAGCTGCCAAATTATTAGCCTTTAATAAAGTGTTGAGTAAAGTAACGCATGTATCCACTAGATGTCTCTCTAAAGATGGGACTAGCTTACTAGTTTTTTCTTTTCTTTTCTTTTCTTTTTTTTCTTGGAGTAAGTGATCTAATCCTGAAAGAGTACAAGGGCTGCTTTCATTAAAACTTGCTGGGCAGAAGAGACTGGAGTTAAGGGAGAAGATAACTTTCCACACTCCTCCTCCTTTGCTTTTTCTTTTAAAAATTAGCATTAAATCCTAGGTGTAATCAATAGCAATTCCCCTCTCCCTGATTTTAGTAGGAAGAAAAGGGTGTTATGAGCCAGGATTGGAAATAAGGACTTAACTTTCACAGATGTCATTTTTGCAGCTATCGATAGGATTGCTAATTAGTACTGTGCTCCTTCCTAAAATGAAGGACCTAATGTCTCATTTCCTGTTGAAATAGCAGGGTCAGCTTCCACTAGGGTTACCTCCTGTGGTATCAGTGTAGCCTGAAAAAGAAACTGGACTAAAGGAAAGAAATATTCAAGAGGTGTTATGTCACTTCAGAGCTTGGGTTTGAAAAACCCAGAAACTGGGTCTGTTTGGAATAGTTTCAGAGGCCTGATCAGGACTTGGACAGAATTAAAAAGCTACAAACTTGCTTTTCTCTAAGTGCTAATGCTTTTAATTTTAATTTAGAATTGATCAAGAATTAGCCTGAAGACTGGAATAAATGAGTTTGCTTCTGAAGAACTGCACCATTAACAATTGTCTTGCTGTATTCTCCAGGCTTATAAACTGTCTCTCTCTTTTTAAATTAGACAAGAAATGGAGTCCTCCCTGTGAGACAAAAGAAGAAAATGGGAGTAGCTAACATCACGTTTGATCTGTACAAACTGAACCCTAAAGATTTTATTGGTTGCTTAAACGTGAAGGCCACTTTCTATGAGATCTACTCTGTGTCATATAATATCAAATGTATGGGAGCAAAAAGCGTATTGCGGTAAGTATACACTTCCAGTGCTAATGAGGCATATGTATTAATAACAAAAATCTGTGTCTGCTTACCAGTTCTGTGAAAGCAGATGCGTTTATAAACTTAATGTTTTTTATTAATCCTTACATATTGGTCAACATGCTGAAGTTTCCAGTTCTCACTGGAAACAGCTGGTAGACAGCTGTCTTACACATACTTTTTTAACCTTTTATAACTTGCTATAGCTCTTCATGGTGGAATCGTAAACTTCCACCAAGACAAAACCTTATCAGCTTTTACTCATAACACTCAAGGTACAGGCTTTTTTCCCTGTTTGAGAGAGTCCCTCAAAGTTGACTCATTTGATGAATATAGGAGGCTGAGGAATGAGTACTGCTCATTAGCTAATGCTGTTTAGATGGGTACTTCAATAGGACAAAATGAGATAGGAATCTGAGCCTTAATGGTGGAGCTCTATCTTGAAGCTTGCTCAGATTGTGCAAAACCTGGCTGCGAAATTCACCTCCTGAAAGGCACATGAGGACAACAAAAAAGAAAAGGAAGAAATGATACTCTGGACTATCTTCAGTATCTGTCATCTGTGCTAAGACTGTGATGTCACTGTTTTTAAGCAAGCTAATCTCTAAGCAAACTAACAGAGCTTAGACAGGACCGCTGCCTCCCCCAGAACCAAGCTGTGGTGGATCCTCGGTTTGGCAGGACCGGTTGTTGGGAACTGCTGCCTCGTGCAAAGGCAAAATAATACCTATCTGTCCTGTCCACTGCTTTCAAGTCTTTGCGCCTTGTCAAACCAGCTGCGTCTGCCTCTGGCTGAAGAAATAACTCCTTCACAGAGGTACCCTACTTCTGCTTTGACAATTGTTTAAGTTACAGCCCTGAACTGCTCTGCCTGACCTTTGAAATTCTGGTTGAGACACAGCAGTATAGAACTGCTACATTTTGAGGACCAGATCTACTCTGTACAGAGCGGACAGATCTGTATGCCTCTAAGTGGGGTTTACGCTTCACTTGAACAACATGTAGTCTTTAGTTTAAAGTCTTTAGGTAGTCTCTAGCCTCATGATGCAGGCCTTAAATATCATAATGCTAATGTTAATCCCTGTTTTATGTCTCACTGACTTCCCCACTATGCTTAGGTGGTCCTTTACTTAATCTTTCAGGCTAAAGCTGGTGCGACTATAAATGAGACTCAAATCTCTGGTTGTTCTACAGTAATTATAGTGCTGTATACTGTGCAGCACTGGCTTCATTAGTTTCTTCAAAGCAAAGGTCTACCCTTGGACAGCTGCACTCCTCCAGTTCCTGTGTTTGTCAAGTCTCTTGAGCCAGAACAAACTCTGATTTCTGGCTATCTGTTATTGCAATGAGTATCAGCACTGAAACTTGCAGCGTTAAAGAATTGTAAGTGACAGTTCTGCCTGCCAACAACCAGTGCAGCTGGTGAGAAAGAAGTGGTGCTGGGAAACAGCTGAAGTAGCTGTGGAGTTCTTCTAGAAGCACAGCTAGTCTACAAAGACTGAACTGTACGGGAAGCACTAGCACAAGGGTGGGAAAATAGCCCACTGGCAGAGAACAGTGAGAAGAGAGGCAATAACCTTGGACCCTCTTGAATCTGACAGTGAGGCAGTCTGACAGTGTCAGACTGTGTCAGTCCTTCTGCTAATGAGTTCTAGGTTACGAACTCTGATGCCATGTCCCTGAGCCCTTCCACAGCGTGTGAAGGGAAACAACTTTAAAATATTGCAGTTAATTGGGAGGGGCTAGCCGCCTGCCAGATCAGATCAGTGCATTTCCCCTACGGTTTTTCCCTTTCTTGTCCAACTGAAGGATCAAATGTTCAGTTCAACAAACAACTTCCTCAGTGGCTTACATGACAACTGCTCTCATGTGCAAGTGATACTGCAGCTGCTCAAAAGCTTGGTACCAGGTGCAGCTTTCTTTACACTGTAAAGCTCATTGGCCTGTGCTGTCTTGTGGAGGGAAGGACATACTGAAATGGCATGTGTGTGGGAAGCATGAATAAGGTACAGTACTTCTAAAGGCTTCCTAGGCTCTAAGGGGCAGTGTATTAAACTCTTGGGAAGCACTGGATTTTGAATGCAAACATTCTTTAATTATGATAGAAAAAAAAATGGATTTGTAAGAAGAGAATTTCCTTGCGTTCTCTGCTAGAACTCAAAGGAGAAGTGAATAGCAACAGTACATTCACAATTGCATAGTTTCTTGGCCAGGAATTCAGAAAATCTTCCCCATCTTTTTGCAGAAGGGGAAGACTGGTCTGGTTTCTGCGTTTTCAGAAACTGGTCCCTTTCCAATTTTGGAATCGTTCCAGTTCTCGACTTCCACTTACCTGGTGCCTTAACCTCGTACTTGAAAAGGCCTATTTAACTTTGAGGGGATGAGGCCTGAATATAGCTCTTGGCACTGATGTTTCCATTCCCCAAGAGACAATGGGGACAAGACACAGGTATGACTAAGTTAAAGAATGAGGGACCACTGAAATATGATAATCTCCATAACCTTGATATCCTGTGGTGATCGCATTCTATACTTTAGATCCCTGATGCTTGTCTGGTTTTAGTTTATGGATCTGTACTGATTCGCACACCCTATTATGCATTTGAATGCTGATTTTACGTCTTTGAAGCATTAATGAGTTGGGAACTGAGAATCCCTAAGGCTTGTAGTTTGGGCAGTATTAATGTGCCTGGTTTCACTTGTTTTGCTGTAGGGCATCTTCTGTAATGTAATTGCTCAGCTTCAGTACTAATCAAGCTTGATCTATAGCTGGAAGATGCACAAGATGTCCTCTTAATGACTGGCCTAAAGGTGAGATGCAAAATATATTCATGCTGCAGGACTGCTGCTGGGCTCCCAGGCAAAGTTAAATCTTCAGTGGTCCTCTGGTAGTTTGAGTGATGGTTTTGCAGAAGGCCTGTAAAAGTCTAACAGGATGACAGGCTACTTTGTTAAACGTGTTTTCTGGTTCTGCCTAACATGTCAACAGTTTTCTGTCAATGGGCACAGAAGTAATTGCTTTAAAGAAGGTATGAAAATGACCAGCTGCCCAGACGTGAGGAAGAACAAGAGAATTCTTAAATGTATCTACCTAACTCATCTTAAAGAGCGGTGGGGGGAAGGAACAGCATGATAATGTTGCCTTGCTGGTGAAAGTTTTCTTAAACAAGCGGCTTTTCTTCTAGGAAGGTTCTTCAGCTAATATCCCATGCAGCACAAATAACCGGACAATTTCTTCTCTACACTGGAACTTACATGTTGCAGCTGATGGGTGAATATGAAGAAGACAGCACATGCGCAAGACCAAAGCGGGAGTAGGGAGCACAGCTGCACTTCTAATATTGGATCCTTTTGCTTAAAGATGCTCTTTTGCCCAATTTTGATTGTAATGATGTTAAAGTAGGGGCTGTCCACAGAGGTGAACTAACCTTCTTTTCCCTGTGTGGGAATGCTTGTAGACCTTAGCCATAAAATGTTTGGTGTTCACAGACTCTTACGGAAAAAGGATGGGTGCCTAATGTTTGAGAAGTGGGCAAATGGAGAGAGGGCAAAACTGCTCCAGCAACTCAAAATAGAGAATCGGTGTACTTGGAAGCATACAGGCTTTGTATCTAACTTTTTTTTTTTCTTGCACTGATCAAAACATGGTTTGTGTTCACGGCTGTCTACTTGCCTTCTGAACAGATTGGGCTTTAAAGGGTTTGTTTGGGCTTTTTGTTTTTTTGTTTTTTAATCCTCAGCACTGCTGGTACTAGCATTCCGCTGGGACTGAGGTACAAAAGGGTAGAGTGTACTTATTTACAATAGGAACGCACAATGTAACTGAATTCTGGTTTAGTAAATCTGACTAATCACATGAAGGCTAACTGGAGGAAGTACAACTACTAAGCAGAAGCTTAAAACTTTTACTTGCTTTAAGAGAAGTAAGGCTAACCATTTTATATAACTCCTTACACCTTTCTCGAAACCTACAGACAGTTCTGGCTGGTTTAACTCATACCAGTTGAAGAAAATGTTATATCCCTCTAATGGCGTTCAGTTCTGCCGAAAGCATTGAATAATTTGCCTTTGTTTCAGGAATATGGCTTACAGGCAGCCTCCTGAATCTTCCTTCAGAGGTTAAACCTTCACTTCTGTAATTTTTACTCTTCAGCTACAAGACGTATCTTAAGTACATCTTGGGATGTAGCGTCACATGTAGTATGGATCTGTAGATACCCCCGAACTCAATGCCCCTGTGTTCAGGGGAGAGCAACAGGACACTGTCTAGACTTGCATAACATATATATGTTCTGAACTGGATATTTGCAGTTTTATAATCTCCCAAGACAAGCTGTGTTACAGGGCAAAGTTTTTAATCTTTAGGTAGAATTGTCCAGAATGCCTTCTGCCGTTTAGTGAGCTGCTAGAATGACTTGTTTCCAGCAAGTGTCTCCTTAACAGTGTAAACAAAGCGGAAAACAAACAGCGGTGGGGATCTTGTGTTAAAATGCAGACCTCTGTTGTTGAAGGCGAAAAGCCTAACTATTGTTGTAGGGATTTCTTGAGGTTTTCATTTGATACATGCTTAGATATGTGCTTAGATATATTCTTCCTTGAGAACGAAACACTTAGAGATAGCAGATACTGGTACCTGTGTCTCTGACAACAGATGCTACCTAGGAAGAGAAGCTCCAGTGACAAGGAGAACAAGTGGAACTGGGGGAAAAAAGCAGTGAGCGCAAAAGGGAAAGGATGCCCAGATGCCTTCCACACCTCTGCTGAGACAAGAATTGTTTAACCATCAGCTGCACTGATTAGCCCTCTTCTGGGGTCAGAAAGCAGAAGAAAATCTAATGTTCTGAAAGAGTAACAGGTAGGCAGAAAGCCAAGAATCATAGCTGGCAGTATCCATTCTGATCTATCAGCTGGGTGTGTTCACTTCAAATGTCACTAATACACAAAAATATTGCTCTCACTTTCATCTGCAAATTTCACCGTCATATCCTGATTTGTGCCTTCCCTTTAAGGATCTGACTTGGCCAGCTGAAGCTGCATCTTTCAAATCACTCTTTGTTGTGATGAGAAGCAGCCTAAAGGCCAGTCTTAAAGGGACTGACAAACAAGTTTGCCAGGTCTCCATCTTTCTCTTCCGTAATGGTTGTTGCAAATGAGTAGACAGCTAAGAAAGAAACCGTGTCTCTTCTGTTTTCCATCCACTTCTGAGTGTTTGCTCTCTCTTAGTGTGAGAGCAAGGGAGAGGCAAGGCTGCAGGCAAGGGAAGGGCTAATTCTTACTAATTTCTCTCAGGGAAGAGTGGCTGCAACTTGTAGCGCTGTCAAGTTTCCTCGGGAAGAAAACACTAAAGCTACTCTGCAGCTACTGAGAAAGAGCTTATATTAAAATGAAAGCTTATTCTCCATGTGCATTGTTCTCTTCCCCCAACACACTCTGAAATAGTGATTGTTGCCTTGGTAATTGTTGGCCAAGGTCTTTCTACGCATATCAGGGAATAGCATTTAACTGATGCAGTGCAAGGGCCTTGTCACTCACTCTTTCAGCTCTTAACGGCCATTTATTCTATTAAAACAAACCTATCTTTTGAAAGTAAGCTCTGCATAATGCTCCTAGGAATACACAATACACATGTTGGAAATGGGAGCACCAACATTAAAAAAATGCACTGTATGCACTAACCTCTCTATATATTACCTCTTCAACATCTGTAATACAAAAGCTTTTGCAAGTCTGAACTGTGCAGATTTCAAATTCCAGCCTTCTATAGCTGGAGGGAATTACTTCAGAACTAACTCTCCATAGTTTCCAATGGCACTATATTAAAATTTAACACAGTCCAAAGGACTAACTTGGTATGAATTTGAAATGTTTTCAAGTGGCTGCTTTCCTGAGAGCTTAACATGTAACACTTGAGCTGTTGAAGGTCATCTGAGCTGCAAAGTCTGCATCTCAAAGTATCTGCCTGTTCTAATTCAAAATGCAAGCAGCTGAACAAAGTAGCTCAAATTTGATATTTCCTCAGGATGGGAGAAGTGTCTTTGAAAACTCTAAGTGTTTGAAATTGTTCCATTGCTACTGAATTTGAATTTTGCTACAGGTTTAGTATTTGGGGGATGATATTTGCTACTGTAAAAAAAATTTTTTTTTTTTCCAGAGACAAAGGTTTGGCTTTGAGTCAGACTGGAGGAGTTCTCTGAATTGCAGCCACTTTGATTTTTAGAGCCTGCTGAAGAGACATAGCTTTCACTTCAGCTGTATGTGATACACAGCAAAGAAACTTCAGTGTTTTCTAGCTTCCAGAAAACCACATGCAAGCGGTGGGCGCTATTTCGAAAAGAAGAAAAAAACCCACAAGCAAAGGCTCTTAACTGCAGGTATGCAGAGATGAAGCTAGCTTTTCTACTTTATATTTTAACTTTAATTTTTATTTTTATCTCATTTAATCTGCACTTGTTACTGTTGCAGTCAAGGCTGGTAGCACTGAAATGTCAAAGGTGTCAAACTCGTTTACTGCCGCCTTGCTTGCACTAGCCCTTTTGCCTGTTGCTTTGCATCACTTACTAACAATCCAAGGCACCAAGTCATACTCTCTAGTTACCAAAAAAGGAATTTTCACTGAAGTACTCGATCTTGTTGACTCAGGCACTATTCATGAGCTGCAGGCAAAAACAAAGCTGCTCTCTTCACAACTAGAATGAAGAATCTACTAGCTGCTTTTTGTGCGTGATTCAGAATGTATCATTACTTCATTTCCTTCCTTTCATAAACACATGAAGCTGTTGCTTTCTTACACCTTTCTAGTCTTTCAGGAGACATGGGATTGTAAACTCTTCTGTCTAGGGGCAGAGGATAAGGCAGGGTCTAAATTCCTTAGACTATTCGGATTATGCTCTAGGAAACACCCCAAATCCCTTAACTGAGGAGAAAGGAGTGGCTAAAGAAAGGAAAATGGGACTTCAGGCTTGAAGGTTTTGTTGGTAGTGTGTAGAGAGGTAGGCGTTTGAAAATTAGGAAATGTTTGTAATTCTCAATAGTACTGTGAAGACAATTACAATACATGGGATCGTTTGCAACTGACTAGAATTATAACTCTAAATCATTTCAGCATACTTCTTCCTGAGACAGCACTTGAATTAAAGGTGCACGCTTCTTTTAATTAAAAAAAGTGTTTAAAACTGAAATAGTATATTTTTGATTTAATACCTCTGGTTTTACTGGAGATATTAACATGATTAACATGCCACTTTAGCTATGCACTAGTAAGTAATTCTTATACGGTTTAGCATTTATCATTTTGCTGTTTCTACCTTACCTTGTTATATATCCAGTTAAAATATTTATAGTCAGAAGTATTGCTGTTTTGCTAAGGGGGAAGATGGTGTTTTACCACTTCACAAGTTTCAAGCCTACTAGTTTAACTTGCTATGAAATTAACATGGGTAGGAATTATGATGTGTCGGTGATGGCAAAATGTTCTGGTGTGTGGTGCCAATTTTAAGAAACACTGTCCATGAATAAATATATTCAGATGGTGGCTTTGGATGATGCCTCTATTAATTTCCAGAATAACTTATTCATGAAATAATCATGAATGTTAACGGATCTCTGGTCTGCCCCAGTTTCAAAATGCTGCACTGCAGCACGGCGGTAACTGGATACTATTATAAGGCTCTCAGCTTGAACTCTCTCCTGCTGACTCACTTTCTGGCCTCGGAGAAACCATGCAAACTGTTTCCTTTCATATGAAAGGAATGCCTTCGTCCATCTCTCTTACCAAAGCTGTAAAAGACTACACACTACTGAGTATAGGAGATAGGCTTGGGAAATCTCTGATAGGAGTTGATCTTTTTTCATTAAATAGAGGAAAGTTCAAGAATCTAGTTTATAATGCCTCATGGAAAACTTCCTGCAGTCACATGTAAATACACAATAGTACATATTTCCTTCTTGATTGCATGAAAATATGGATTTAATTTAGTAGAATATCCAGATTTCTCTAATCCAGGATTAATTTAGACTTTAGGAGAAACAGAATGTAACTGTGATATCAATCTAGCACACTTCTGCCTAGTAAGTACATCCTGTAATTATCTTAAGTGGCAGTTTTGCAGAGTTTCACTATTGATTTATATCTCTTAGTGAACAGTTTCCCCTCTTCTGGGAGAACCAATGTCTGTTTTCTTGCTGTAGAAAAGCACAAAATAGCACAAAATTTTTTTCTCTTACAGAGAAAAAAATAAGCTGCCTATGATGTAGCCGGTGAGTAAAATTAGCAGCAGATCTGACTGAGAATATCCTCTGAGCAGTTATTCACAGGTTTGTTTACAGAGACAAACCCAAGTTATGGACAGGACAGGGTCAATAGTTTGTATCATGACTGCTGATAAAATCCTGACCTCAATCGTGAGCTGCCTTTTTTTTTTTTTTTAAGATATTTCTAAAGTCACAGATCAATGTGAGTTGTTTATAATAGGCTTCTCCTAGTATAGTCTCAATTATGAATATTTACTAATAAATGTTCATTCTCACTTGAAAAAAAAGAACACTGACGTAGTACTAACAATTATTTTATAAAGTAGCTAATGAAATGTAATACTAGAAATATATCCTAATAAACTTTGGAATTAGTATAACATGTCCCTTGCAGTTCCAACATAAGTAGTACATGATCATCAGTTTCCTTAAGTCTGTTTTAATAATTAGCCAGAGTATATAATGTATAAATTAGATTTGTCTTTTCAGAGTAATATAACTACTGTCAGCATCACAGGTTGGTTGTGAGCCTGTTGTGTGTTTTAAAAAAAAAAAAAAAAAAGCTTTAAGAGCCTCAGATGACAACTGTACTTGAGAAAACAGTAGTTTAATAGCATGTGGTTAACTCATCTATAGAAATAGAGAAATATCAGATATCTAAGAAGTCCTTTTAAGTCCAGTTAGGTATAATAATTTCTGACCATTTTGCAATTATACTGTGAAGTCTGTAATCACTTATGTTAGAAACATTTCTAATTGCAAAACATTTTGCCTTGCGTAGGTACTTGACTTGGTTTGCTGCTTGTCTTTATTTAGTAGCGTTTTTAGATGCCCGTCCTCAACCTCCAAAATCAGGAAACAATAAGCAAGAAGACATAAATAACCTTATTTAAGAATAAGAAGGACTGTAGATTTATTACTGAACCAGACAAATTGGAAGTCTGCAGAGGTACTCTGTATTTTTCTCTTGAAAAGGTAAAGTGAAAATGGTTTGTTTCAGTGATTTCTGGACCAAAGGCACTTAATTTAGACATTTCTCAGCTACAGGTTTCTTGCTTTCTTGTCTGCTTAGGGAAGCTGCCTCAGAAAACTGCTACAGAATATTATTCTAATCTGCACCCAGCTCCCCGCACGAATATGCTTTCCAAATTAAAGTCAGCATCTTCCACAAGAGCTACTGTGTTCTCAGAGAGAATTGATTATTCAACAGTAAACCCATTTTATCTGAAATCAGCAATTACTAAGCAGTTGCTACAAATGGGTATTCCCATTTCCCTGTACAGAAAAACCATTTCATCCTTGGATGGGGTGATTAAGCTGGTTTTACTCATCATTATAAGCATAGTCTGCAAACTACATTAATGTCAGAATTTCATCTAGATAAAGAGTATAGTCTGTAATGGAATTTCACCTCTGATCATTAGATTCAGTAAACAATTATCTTCTCTTATTATTTCTTGGTCCTATCTGTCCCTGCTATGGTACCAGTGCCTTAGTTTTCACAGGACCTGTGATCAGTGAAAACAAAGCAGTTTTTGTCACTAGCAGCATCAGCAATGACTAAAGGCAGTAGTAATCAAGTCACTTTTGTTTCTTTCAATTACACTTCAGTGAAGATATTCCCCAGAAAATTACAACTGCTGGTAGAGGACCTTCGCTTTTCTCTTGGAAGTTCCCACTGCTTTCACACTGCTCTAGCTTTTCTTCATCTAAACCTTTCTCTATGTGATGCTGCTACACAGCTGTCATTAGCTTCATGCACTCAATTCCTTCTGCTGTTTTTCTGTACCCTACCTCCTTTAAACATGCTACCTGTTCTGCTGCACCGTTGTGCTATTCAGGTTATGGTCTTCTATCCCCTTTTCCAGATTCACTTCTTCCACGTTCCAACAAAAAATACTTCATAACTGAGGAAAAGTGGTGGGGGAGAATATCTCTAAAGCAACTGCAAACCAAAAAAGAAAAAAAGTCTCATCTGTCTTGCTCTCTCTATTGTTCATAGTAAGTGTTTTTAGGCAGAAATGCTCTGTCTCCATTTTTATGTAGCGTTTTTAGGATACCTGTGCTCTGTGTTAATGAAGTCCTGACACACAGTTTTTGACCAGAGGGCAGCTGTCTATTTCTGGCAGATCATATAGGCCACACTTAACATAATTAGAAATTTCTATTCAATATAGAGATGTGACACCACAATGAAATCATTTGACACAGAGATGTGTCTCTCTGCAAATTTTCTGTGCACAGGCAGTAACTGTGTCTCCACACCCTTCCTGCAAAGCAATGGCATTCTGTTGTGCAGGCAACATATATTGTAATCCCATATCCTCCTGTATTCTGGTACACTGTTTAACAAATGGACCATGAAAAGGATTATTCAGCGTAGGGCGGGCAGTGGGTTGAGCCCTGGCCATAGGCCAAACTGACCTCTTACATTCTTAGCATTCATAAGCCTTTAAATCATTAATATGGTAATGCAGCTAATAGGCTGCCGTTTGAGGCAACAGCATATACCCTCAGGCTCGCTACTGCAGACTGATTTTCTAAAAGAAAAATGACCAGTTCTCTGTGTGTGAATGTTGTCTTCCCCTTTTAATTCTTGATCAGTGGGATTTTTCAGCTGTTTATGTGCAGTTAATATCAGAGCACATTCCTTCAGTGGCAGACCTACCCGCCCTTGACAGTGTTACAGATTGTCCTGTTAAAAATAAGCCAGGCTTTGTTGAGTTGCAGCCTCTGTTGTGCTGTTTGTACTAAGCCTGGATGGAATTGCGAGGAATGGTGCTCTTCTCCTTGCAAATGTAACCCGAGAGAGTCATTTGTCAGCACCCTAGAAGTGGTAGGCTGCTTTGGTTCGGAGACGTGTGACAAATGAACAGAAGCTGTGTTAGCGAGTGAAGGGTGGCAGCCAGGAGCCCCTCACCATCTAAGAAAGAGGGAAAAGAAGAAAACTGTGACTCACCTGTGAAACCTGAGACCAGGAAGGAGCAATTTATAATTGATTTTAGCTGTCAAATTACTCCTAAAAAATAAATGTTTCTCACAGTGAGAGGAATCACTTTTATTTGAAAAGCTACACATTTCATCTCAAATATATACTTTCCTTAGTAAGTATTAAATCACTGACAGTCTAGACAGGACTCCAACCCATTGTCTTAGAGGTCTATTGCTTTTTCTTTGTTCTCAGAGAATAAAACCATGAGAAGTTATTCTGTGTAACACAGCTTACACCTATCCTTTCCCCCTTCCCCTTCTACACACTAAATCCAGTTATCTACTGTCAAGTGTTGCAAGGTGTTTTACTCAAGATTCTTGAGCAGACTGTGCTGGATGGGGTAAGATGCACGTGCTCTCCTGCTTCAATAGCAAGTTAAAAGACAAGAAACAAAGTCTTCTAAAACACAACCATTGGCTGTGCTTGGACCTGACTGGCATAATTCTAAACTACCTGAGGAAAAAAAATAAGTAATAGACTGGTAAAGTTTGCCACGCACTTAAAAACCTTCAGGGCAGTCAAAACTACAGTCAGTTGGAGTGAGTTTCAGAAGCATTTCTTCATACTGATTTGAATAAAACAATACCTGATTAAATTTAATATCTATAACTGCATAATACAGGGGAAAACAACTCTCTGTATCTACTGTGAAGGGATCCAATTTACCTATCATCACTTTCAAAAGACATCTTGGAGTTAGTGCAGATAGATCAGTGAAAAAAAATTTAGCTCAGAGCTCAGCAGCAGTCAAGAGGGCAAACACAATGTTAACACTTATTAAAACAGAACAGAGCAGAAAGTATCATATGCCACTGCATAAATCTATGGCCAAGGTTTGGATGCCGTGTTCAGTTCTGGTCGCTCCTATTTCCAAAAGGCTGCAGTAGAGCTAGTATAGATGCAGAGAAGGGTGACTATCACAGGTGTGAAATGTCCTCAAATACAGGAACATTGACTAGACTAGTACTTTCAGTTCAGAAAAAGGCGCATAGGAAAAAAGAGGACAAAGCAGAAGTAGTAAGAACTTTACCTGACACAAAACTACAACAGTCATTAGGAACTTTTGGTCACTATTTCTTAGAATAGAAGAATCATGGAGCACCAAATTAAAGTAGCAGCTTTAAAAGAGAAAGTACATCTTCACAAACAGAATTCAGCTGTGGCAGTTAATGCTGCATGATACTTTGGAGGCTGAAAGTGTAACAGGGTTAAAAAAGCAGTTAGGCAACTTAATGGATGCTGCAAAATGACTGTTAAATATGATGCTGCAGATCCAGTCCTTGGTTCAACAAATCCTTAACTACTGATTGCCAGGAGTTAAAAGGACATGCTGGGGGGAAGTGTCATTATACTCTTTCTTTTTTTTCGGGCTACTGCCAGAGGTGTAATGCGAGACTAGACGGATCTTCAAGTGCAGCTGCTGTTAGGGTACTCATGTCCTGCCTAGTGACAGGACAAGAGGCAACGGGCATAAACTGAAACACAGGAAGGTCCATCTGAACATGAGGAAAAACTTCTTTACTGTGAGGGTGACTGAGCACTGGAACAGGTTGCCCAGAGAAGTTGTGGAGTCTCCTTCCCTGGAGATATTCAAAACCCACTTGGAGACGATCCTGGGCAATGTGCTCTAGAGGACCCAGGTTGAGCAGGGAGGTTGGACTGGATGATCTCCAGAGGTCTCTTCCAACCTTGGCCATTCTGTGATTCTG